ATCCAGCATCTTCACGATAAGCTGACCGGAGACGAAAAGAAAAAGTAAGATTTTCAGCTATTCTGATGTCATCTTTGTACCAAGATATTAATGCTTCAGAGAAAACATTTGTTTTGCAAGGAAGTAAAACCTGTTCCCCTTCTGGAACAATTAAGTACGAGCTCTCCGATGTAAAATGCAGAGGAATATTTTCATCATTGAGTTCAAAAGATTTCAAACTATGTATCAAGAGGTACAAGATTGCACAACACAAGAATATCCATCTAATTTTATCATCAAAAATAACCATGTATTCCACTTGCTGTAATTTAGACTGGAAATGTGGAAACTACATGAATTTACTATTGATGATAAAAGACCACGAAAACATATTAGTTGCAGATAATGATATGTCATTCAAATATACTCATATTTTTAATGCGATATAATTTATCAATATGATGCGTTTAAACAAACTGCGAACGAAAAGTTTTATAAACAGGTTGTTTTTCTAATCCCTAGAGTGAAAAATAGTTATCACTTGGATAGCTACAAAATGGTTTCCTTCACTTCTTTCAAAGCATCAGATTTTGGCAGAATTATTGTAATATGCAGACGTATTAAGCTGTAGTTTTCTTGGTCTATGGCCTGTTATTTAATTTTCTAATGGTCTTTTTATTTGCGGAGAGTTAACGTCCATGTTTTATACCATATGAAAACAGCACTACCTAATTATTTTTTTAGTGAAATGTATTACTCTAATAACACCTAAGAAGGTTCGAGGGCAGTTCGATATTAGAATTCACCATCGACGTTCCTCATATACTGCTTTTTATCGATATTCACCACTACCTATGCTGCGGTTTCCTTATAGAGTATTGACATTTTCATTTTAACCCCCCCAATTCTTATAATCATTCTCCTACAAAAGCCCCAAAAATTCGAAATCATCCGATAGATCTTCTTTTAAGAGCGAAAAACCAACCCAAGAATTGGATCTCATGGCACTTTGCTTGACCTCAGAAACTAAGCTGACAGTTCAGAATCAACTCTGGAGCTTTATGATATCCACATTTAGTAGGTCTCCTGTCGCCTAAACATACGACTGTTCAGTCAGTTTGAATTTTAGGGTATAATAATTGAATAGCTTTTTAAATAACTAGACCCTGGTAGTATGCTAAATGCCTATTTTACAGGCTATGTCTATTCTAAATGATAATCCGGAAGCATTACGTGGCTACATAAAACACCAGGAACTGTCACACTTAACAAAACAAGACCGCATTAATAAAAAAACATCATAAATGGTGAGTCAAACTTTCACTACTGTATAACTGAAAAGATTTAAATATATCACAGAATTTAAGGTTTCACAACTATTTTTCCCGTAACTTTTTTACAACTGAAAGAAACTGGCTAGTACAAGTAAGTCAGGAATGAATGATTTCAAAGACATTTTTAAAAAACTTTCGATTTCAGCTGGAAATTAGTTACAAGGTACGCGTGGTGCGACGTAAACAATCACGATCTCGTGCAGATATGTGACTAATAACCTCCGGTGAGGTGCTTCTAGTGAGACTAACGAAGTGATCTTAATAGTCGACGACTTACGGAATTATTTATTTTGGAATTCGTCTTTAATTACAGACTCAGACAGTGACATAAAGAACGACTTCACCGAGTCTTTAAATAAGCCCAAAGATTCACTGATAATTATGTCTGACCTATGTAAATCTAGTGAACTGAGAAGAATCTGTATATAAAGTCTTTCTCGCTCACCTTAACTTCAGTGACCAGATATGCGAAATAGTCTTGATCACCACTTAGCGCGATGTTTAGTAACCACTAAGAAGCCGTCTCACAAACGTACTGTTACTTGAAACCAAAAGTAAATTCCAATTCTCTGACTGGATCAAACATTTTCGAGGTTTAAACACTTTAATATAGCCCCAAAATCCTAAATTCATATGCTATAATTTTAATAAGAGTACTCTCCCCTAACATGGTTATCCCGTTGGAAACTTATATGAATATGACTGTGAAAGGCTGTCAAAAATGATATTCTTCATTCTCATAACTATAGATAGTTACTGTGTCTATGCTTAAAAAGATTAAAGAATAAGTGTGTATCTTTGACGCCTCCCATCATTTTCAATGTGTAACCCATGGAAGAGTGATGCCAACACGAGGCTGGCATGTGACTTATTAAGAAACTCACTAAAATTCAGGAAACTTTAAAAAAATGGAAGTCAGTCGATAGCACGCCAGTCTTCAAAGTAGTCAGGGAAAATCCAACCTTTTAAAGATCAGTTGTGGTATATTCAATAATGTTGGACATTGTGGAAGGGATGTTTTGTTGAGTCATGGTCGTGGTCGCTATTATTACACTTATAGTTATCAATAAAACTATAGATACAATCCCCGAACTGTTGATTTATCATGATATGACCATCTATTCTATATGACCTAATGTGCAAGTCACATTATTGTCCATACCAACCCTTTATACCACGACAATCAGCATTACAATATTCAGAATATATGGGAAACATTTGGGCTTGGGACAAAATGATATATATCTAGTACAAAGAGGAATAAAACGCCACACCCACACTGCCGATCCATGTCAACATGTGTCAACCATTTTTGATCTTCTCTATAGTGCTAAATGTTGAATGCAAATCTCCTCCGTAATTATATGTTCAGCATCAAACATTGCTTAGTTAGAACAAATCCCACTACAGTTTGATGACTGAGGTGACATGTGGATAAAAACAATTTTCTTCACAAAGTTCAACACAGATTTTTTGCCTTAATGATCTCCTTGCAAAAAACATAAATAACCTGCTGAGACAAAGCGATATAGTGCCATGTAATATCCCTGGACAGAACAAATTAGTTGGCACAGTACCCCACGTACTTCTTGTACCGGGGTTTACCAATAAAAATTTTACTAACCCACTTTTATCCTAGCTTACAAACCACTTTGTGGACTGGATGTTACGTATTACAGTAAACAGAGTTCACACGAATTGTGAAGTAGCGAACTTTCGCGTTGGACAATTTCAGCTCCATTTCTCTTCCTGATTTTTGTCGACAAACTCCTAGATAAAATTAGCTTGCCAACCCTCACGTACGCTGAGGAAATCATGATATGGAGGTCTATAATGAACGAGAACGACCAACTTACGTAATCACAACTGATTGATCACTGAATGGTGATCAATCTCATGCTTGTCTAGTCCTTATTAGTGCAGATCGAATGCTATCGATCATGTTGCAATGTGGTCACCAGTCTAGGTGACTCGACACTGCGGGCACTATGTATTGAGATTAGATGGTGGTTGGAGGTAGTCAACAGGAAACCCTGGACCCGGGTTTCGTGCTACTTGGCACTCGTCAGCAAGGTGTACCTGTAATCTCGAGGGAACTGGTGCTCCCTGGCGGATTCGATCTCGTGTCACCCAGCTTCACAGTCAGAGACGTTATCACTGAGCTATCCGAGCCGTGACTGACCTCCTGCAGTGTCGAGTCACCTAGACTGGTGACCACATTGCAACATGATCGATAGCATTCGATCTGCACTAATAAGGACTAGACAAGCATGAGATTGATCACCATTCAGTGATCAATCAATTGTGATTACATCTCAGTCCTACAGGAGGTCAGTCACGGCTCGGATAGCTCAGTGATAACGTCTCTGACTGTGAAGCTGGGTGACACGAGATCGAATCCGCCAGGGAGCACCAGTTCCCTCGAGATTACAGGTACACCTTGCTGACGAGTGCCAAGTAGCACGAAACCCGGGTCCAGGGTTTCCTGTTGACTACCTCCAACCACCATCTAATCTCAATGACCAACTTACGTTTCTACATTACCTGCGGGTACCCTCCGTCCTGTCGGTAAAAAAAATCAGACTAGTGGTCAACAGGTCCTTCTTCTAATCGTGGGACAAAACAGCTGGAGCACGAGGTTACCCTTTTCGAACGAACAAAGTTTCTCAACATTCAAAATAATTAGGAAGCATAATGCCAGTACGCAATAAAGAAGTGAACGAATACTTGAGCTATAATGTTTTGAAATTGCTAAGACGTCTGCAGCCAACTCGTCACCAATCAACCTCAGTTGTTACAAGTGAATGACGATCATTAGCCTGACGTTTGACCTGTCATAATGTTATGTTGTATGCAGTAAGCCCTTAAGTCCACCAAAATAAAAATCTGCATTGTAACTTTCTCGTCCAGTTGTTTTCACAAGGAGTAATATGAGACTACTCGCCACAGACATTAAGAGAACCAAAGCAGATGCAACTTCACATTTTATACGGAGGTAGCTTGACGGAATCTCCATGGCATTATATCCAGCACTCTAAAACGTACGCACAACCTGACGTGGAAATTTACGACGTTGTTCACATTATTTTACGAAAGAGACATAAACCTCATAGATTAAGTACAGAGATAGTCAACTGGATAGTGATAGGCCTGGGAAAATAATATTACGAAGATGAATTCCGACGCTTAAGACCATTCTCTCTGAGCTATAGGAGACTATGAGGTGATGTGATAATGGAGCACAATATACTAAGAACTTTGAGTCGCACCAACACACACATCCTGCCAGAACATCCTAGAATAAGTTAAGTCGAGTGACTGAACTACTGCATTTTGGACATGATAAATACATGGAACACACAAAAACTGGAGACACAACACAACAGAACAGACTGCAGACACAACGTCTACTCCTTAAGTGTTGTCAAACGCTGGAATTCGCTGTCAGCTGAGCTAGTCCAAGAGACTTTCCAGGAGTCCTTCAAGAGAAAACTTGACATATTGTTAAGGACTAAGGATAAAATCTAACTACGATTCACCAATCTTGTTTTTCTCTTTTATCGTTAACAAACCTTGGTTCCTGCCTGGAGGTATTGGTGATCCACTGCTACCAGACACGGAAGTCCGTTAAGCGAGGGCTTCTTCTATTCCGTCCATAACTGTTTGAACCATTTTGGAAGCGCGTAAATTAACCTTCTTTGGCTTATGGAGGCAAGTGACGGTAAGTTGTACATCACCTGGAATAGCAAACAATATTTGACCCAGTATGCTCAGAACGAGGGCATTGAGTTTAGTGATTAACGCAAGACTATATTCTATGAACAAACCAAACAAATTGAGAATGGCAAGTCTTGGAATTCGGCTCATAATTCACATAGTTAAATAGCATTTTGTCATTACACCTGACATCAGTCCTTAATGGAAACCTGTTAGTTTAGTTTTTTAATCTAAATCCTAATTCTTGTTCCGCATAATAGTTCATAACTCTTTCTTGACCCTGGCAAGTGGAAAAGTTGCCTCAAAGTTCGTACATCAATTAGTCGCCATGATTACCACATTTTAATCAAAGATTGTGAACTGGGAGTTCACAGGACAGCTTGTTTACTATTCTATGCGATAGATTCCTCTGAATCAAGATGATATGGTGAACAGAAATCAACTTCTCTACTCATTTTCACCTTGTTTCCTCAAGACCTGATATTTGGTTTGATTATTTGTTTCAAAATCATTAGCGTGTATCAGACTTATAAAAACAAAAGTATCGTTTTACATGAATTCGAAGACTTATGTGCTAATGACCCGCTTTCCATTCATTGTTATTTGGTCTTCCTATTTTCCTTTGGCCTTGAGGATTCCATGTGAGGGCTTGCCTTATGACTCGGGTGCTTTCCTCAATGTTCTGTAAGCCCAACCAAACTTGATTGCAAGACCTAACACCAATGTAACAATACAATCTGATCCACATTTATGTAAAACCCGACTTTTATTCCAGTTTGACCAATGTTCTAGATAAGATAGTTATAAAAGTTTGTAGAACAATAAGAGCTAACTTAATGCAGGTCGGCAAATGATGTACATTGATACAATTTATTCAAGTGATAGCTACTCACATAAGTTGGTTAATGCTGATACTTTTTCACCCATCAGGCAAACGAAACAGGAAGCTGGTTGATGCAGTAGACGAACGCAAATCCAGTGGAAGTGGGAGGTACGTTTGGAATTCTTTTCCAATACATTTTCTTTAGCTATTTTTTGAATAGTGTCAGGCCTGTGCAGGTAATTCAACATCATTTGTTGTGAATTTCGCAGATGGACCCTGACAAATATCCCGGTTTCTATGTCTTTCAAGAATCTGTTTTTGGAAATATCATCTTACCTGCGATCCCAAGAAATGAGATAAACAAATGAATACTGCTTTAACTGAACTTTTATGATAGATTTCATTCCATTTATCACGCAGCTTACTTTTTCTTATACCCGTCCATATTTCTTTTGATTATTTTGTAACGTTTAGCTGAAATTACAAGTAAATGCATTTTTGTATAATAAAATACTGGTACATAATATTTGCAAACTTTAGTGAACTTTACTCTAATCATCCACCTACGTTTTGTTTAGCTCGGATTATGGTCATATTTATTTCAATGAAAGTAACTAGTTTAGAGGCGCAATATCGTTGTACTATGATGTCAAACAGATGCTGTCTCAACCACAAATAATGTAACTATATAAGTAACGATACACCTTCATATGCTTCAAACCAGCTGATGAGCTTGTAAATCTTCATTGACTGAAATGGTTGGGCCACGTGTTACGTGTGCCTAAACACCGATTACCACGACTCGAAATGCTGACTGTTGGGGATAGTTGGAAGAAAGTTAGGGGCGGCCGAACCAAAACGTGTCATTAGTCCTTGAAGTCACTAACTTCTGGTCTGAGCCATGTTGGTAGATGCAGACTACTTGGTTGGGGTCCGTGTGACTCGTAACCAATGGTTGGAGACTCTTGGTGACATAGCTCTGAACCGATCACAATAGCGTCGGTGTATACACCCTGTCTTCCCTTAAATTGTGAGATTAGAAGTATTTTATATCTTCCTTTCTACCAACTAATTCTTTCGTCCTGTACTATATCGTTATATATAATCTTTCTTTTACGTGTTACTACCAGTGAAGTAACTACTATGAATTCGGTGTTCATCTTGTTGTGTTAATGAGGTGTGGCAACTTGTGCCGATGCATACATATGCCTGGTCCTAAGTTGTAGCTGACTGACTCAAACTATCTTAGGAAGAAGAATGATAAGGTAGAAGCTAAGGAGTAGTAACATTATTACTAAACTAAATGCAGAAAACATCTTTAAAAGGTTAATTGAGATCAGACAATGGTGATACTTGTGTGATACCGATCTCATGACATGCACAAAAATAGGGACTCAATTCATAATTGCTACATAGTTAACGGTTTTAACTTTCTATTCATTTAATTAAATATTTTATGAATTTTACACTTAGCTTTACCGTCATCCTGGACTCCTGGTGTAGTGGTAGATCGGTAAAATTTATCGTCCAGTTATGCGGTAAACGTCAGTGTGGCTATTAAGAGTAATTATCTTCATCAAGTAGAATCTTGCTTGAATCTGATACCTTGTTAAAATAAGTCATTCTAAGTTGATGCATTGGAAATCTCTAAGTAAAATCCAAATACCTTTTACTTTTTGTGTGTTCACAAGTTCTGACTTCTGATATGATGATTTTATCTCCCAAGTGAGTTGATATGTTACTTCCGGATATTTAGAATTGTCTGAGTATTAATTTAGCAACTTACTTGTAATTCTATAACTTTGACGATGCGAATTTTTTTGTAAAAGATACCGTACTTTTAATGGACAGTGGTTTAGTTATTGAAGCACTCTACTTTTAGCCGTTGCTTTACAAACTCGTACTTTATAAAGTAATCTCACTAGGCTTCACATAAATTCCCAATCATTAACTTTTACAAAATAAATATGTGAGGGATTTCCGATTTGTCCCAACGTGGTTTAAACTAACTATATAACTCGTTTAAGTAAGTAAAGATCATAATTTGTATTGCAATCCAGCTAATAATAAAGTTTTAAAACGCTAAATATTTATAGAAATTCAAGTGTGTTCCTAATATTCAACCACTGGGGACGCTCCAGATTTAAAAATTCACATCGGATTGTTAAAATGGTTTTTGCCGATTTCTGTCTAGTTTACGAGAGATAATGAGCTTCACAGCATTCACTCATAGTCTATGAATTCAACCATAAATACAAACTTCCCAGTATAATAAATTCCGAATTACAGTTAGGATATGTAGAACACTTACTATGTCCAATTCATTCACAATCCCATGGTAACGAGGTCATTGAAGTTTCAGTATTCTGTGATGAGAACAATTTAATCACTCCATGGTTGATATCAGATTAAATATGTAAGCCATCTTTTTGTTTGCAGTCGTTTGGTTATACTTTTGCTAAAGTTAGGATTTCTTTATATCTACTGCCTACCGTATGGTAGGTTATACGAGGCTTAATTTGAAGTGGTAACTGGTATAACTTCGTACCAGTGTACTTAAGAATGCTTGCTCATTATAAATGGGGAGATCCCGATTGATAATTGAAGCTTTAGTTATTTGACACAGGGTTTTACTAAGTATATAATAAAATCTTAAAGTTGGTTTAGCTTGAATTGTATTTGTCATTTGTGTGCATCATATCTCAGTTGGTTCCCAAAAGTTCGTTAGTTTGAATCGTATATTAGTATGGATCTCCTTTAAACTTTCGTCGTTATCCTGATACATATGGTATTTTCCAACACGAATCAATCATGAATTTATATACCCTGTAAAACTAAAATAAACGGCTCAAGGTGTTTATTTAATGTTTACTACGGCAACCATATTTATCTAAATCATAAACGCAAAACAAGATTGATGAATAAAAAGAGTTCCTTGTCGATCTTTCGTTGCTAATATCTGTTGACTGGTTTACGTAAATGCCATCTTTTAGTTATCTGTCACCGTTTTCAATTTCTGAACACTTATCTTCTAAGATGTGGCTACTATTTTCAGTAACTTGATATTTCAATTAAGGTGTAGTAGACTGGAGTTATGCTGGTGAGCGGCCTATGCTCCTTCACGAGGAGTAACAGGCATAAGTAAGACTGGAGTTGGTTACATTATGCCTTGAAATTAAGGTTATACTCTCATTATTGATAACCAGTAGGATTTTCCTCAGGCCTCGTAAAAGCTTATTGCCTCTTTCTTAAGTATCCATATGTTATAACCTCTGTCTTTTCTTCTTACGGTTAATGACCCAGCTATTCCTATTGCTTAGTATTCTCGGACACCGATTCACTCGACAAGTCCCCAAATCAGAACACGGTTGAACAGGAAAAAGATTATATTCCAAATAGCAAGTCAGAAGCCAGTAGGAAGCACAATAGGGGAAAACGTCGGTATATTTATAGTTTTTACATAAGAAGATTCCAGAGTATTCTCCGACTATCGACTAGTGCTGATTGGATAAGAATCAGCGTGCACCAAAACAATCATGCATTGAGCATGCTTTAATCTAGTCTATGTCCCGCTAACACCTCCCCTCTGATCAGATGCGTAGGATCTGGTGCTAGGGTCCAACTGCAACTGAGTGACTGGCTTGTGCTTTCGATTAGTCTATCGTCTAGGCAATGAAGAATTATCACTTTTTCCTTGCACAGAGACTGACATGTCTGTTCCCGGCGTTTTGATATTTCTTAAAAAAAAGTATGCATAACTTTTAATTCTCCAACATTCTCCTCCTCCTCGAAATAATGTTGGGTCCTTATGGCTCCAAATTACAACTAGTAGGACTTTATTTAAACCATTTTTCTCGTATTGACTGGAGAATCCACTAAAAATGACTAGATGATGATGAACAACCTTTGATCTGAGTTCATTATTTTCAAATTCATTATGAATCTCGTTAGCAGATAACGCGTCATTAAGAAAGTCAACGTCTAACAGAATTAGATTAGATTTTTGGCCATCATTCAACTCAGCTGACATATTTCCCTCATTTTTATAAGAAATTTCATCAAAATAACATGCATTGTTCTGAGAACCCATGTCTGATACATTGTCATTAGAAATCGGATAAGCTGATTCAATATAAGTTTCTGTCTCACAATGATTTTGAGTAACATTCGGTATGATTGGGTTCGTTGTGTCACTGCAGTTATTTTCTGAATACGAGTCCTCAGCTTTCTTGGCTAATATCACGTGGACCATAAATTTGTTCTAGCTGAAAGTTATTTTCAGAACTAGACAGGACCAGTAGTGCTTCATTCAATTCTGGACTCCGGGCTTCATCTACAGGGTCTGGCTCTTGATAATCTCGTATTGCCACAACTTTATGAGCATTTAGCACAGGATTTTCTTGCTGTGAGCCGGAAACGTTACAAATATTACGTTCTGATTCAGGTATAAAGGGATTTGAACCCTCCACAAGATATGCTTCTGAAATGTCTGTTACTGCATCATAAACAGATTTCTTATTTTCTGGTCGAGTGAAAAGTGTGTTCAATAGTTGTTGTTGCAAGGCTAACAACTTCTGCTGGTGCTGTAATATTAACCGCAACTGTTCTAAAGAAATCGCCATTTTTCTTTAGTTTTTCCCCGTCGCCACTGTTATAATCCTGTTTTCTTTGGACGGTTAATGACCCAGCTATTCCTATTGCTTAGTATTCTCGGACACCGATTCACTCGACAAGTCCCCAAATCAGAACACGGTTGAACAGGAAAAAGATTATATTCCAAATAGCAAGTCAGAAGCCAGTAGGAAGCACAATAGGGGAAAACGTCGGTATATTTATAGTTTTTACATAAGAAGATTCCAGAGTATTCTCCGACTATCGACTAGTGCTGATCGGATAAGAATCAGCGTGCACCAAAACAATCATGCATTGAGCATGCTTTAATCTAGTCTATGTCCCGCTAACACCATAACCTCATCAGTCCGTCTGTCACCAGTCTTTGTGTACTCACTAGTTGTCGGATTCGATGTTTCAATACTAACCACAAATCAATTAAATATTCAGAGGTTAGAGCATAACTAACTTCTAAAAGGAATTATTTAAACCTTTAAATTCAAACTCCTTTTGAATTTATTAGATATATGGGTTTTAAATTAGCCAATCAGTTATCAACGCCGGCCCCTTAGCGAGTATTCTTTGGTCCATACCTTATATAAGCGCGTCAAGGGAAAATCGACAAATCAAAGGTCACAGAAATGGAATAACTCCGACACATAAAGCAATAAATTAACTTAAACTCAACTAAATTCACAGTAGAATTTTTAGTGTGCCATGAGTATAGTGTTGACCTCAAGGTGATGAGGGTTTAAATATCTAGAGAGATATCGTTGGCTTTTATTTGATGTCTGTTGAATGAATGGTAATCAGTATCAGGCATACATAGTTTTCCGTCGATTACCAGGCAAGATAAAAGACCACTATCAGTTTTAAATGGACACTATTTCGAAACTTCTGGTGTTTGTTGTAAAACCCTGTGATCTTACCTGAATAAAATAAAATTTGTGTTATTAGTTAGCGGTTAATCGTTTCACTCAAATCATC